GCTTTAAACAGCAAGATAATTGGATCATAACATCCACTAACAAGTTGCACACTAGCAGAGGATGAGGGTACATTCTAGTTTTAAAAGCTTTCTATAGCACTAAGCCTTAAGCAACCATTTGTCTTGCTCATACTTAAGGACAACACTGAAGAAAATGTCTTAGGAAAAATACACATTCAGATAAAGTTCATATGATACTTTTGTTACCTTAAACAACAGTGAATAAAACCATTTAGTGTATTAAATGTTTCAACTTGCAGTTACCATCAAAACCACAGTAAACTATATTATCAATTGCCACAAAACAATTACTGTATCTACATATATACATCAGTGTTGATTTGTGTTTTACATGCTGTTGCTCATTCTTGAAATTTTAATATCAAATGGTAAGTTGAAGAACAATATGTATTATCAAAACAAGTGCTTCTTATACAAGGGGCATGAACAATGTGTGTAAAGAGAATTAAATTGTTGCTTGTCTTCTGTAATTATTAGCACTAAACCATTATAAACATAGTTTGTATTATATTGATACCATGCTTTTCTTCAAACTGAAAACAACTATAAAAGCTATTAAAAAAGTGCTTTTATAGTGAAGAAAAATTAAAATTGACTGGACAAAAATTGAAAAACAAACCAATTAATTACAAAAAGAGAAACTAAAAAAAAATTTTTTAATTAAAACAAAACTGAAACCAAATAATAATATTAAATTTTTTAAAATTATTATCATTTAAGGAAAGTTTAAACAAAGGTGTAAAAATGAACTTGACTTCCTGCACACCTCTCTCAAGTATTGTCCAATAACCGCACATTGCTGCCAGTGTATTTTACACAGTAACCTGGAAGACTGACCCCTTTCCTGTGTCAATAATGAGACAGTCATGGTGTGCAGTAGCTGTCCAATATCTGACACATTAACTATATTACTAGTATTATGTATCAAACATGTCTTCAAAACAAAGCAACTGATGAAGAGCATGCTCAACATGGAACAAGTCCAAGTTTATAACTGAACACAACAATAGTGTGTGCAAAATAACCAGGGAAAAGGTGTTGTTGAGAACTATCAAGAGAAAACTCACTTGTCATATGTGCACAAGGAATAGTATTCACAATCTGAGGAGGCAGAAAGACATCAAAATAGTACAAAGCAGGCTTCATGCTCAAAAGTAGCACAGACTATTTAGACTACTTTACTCTCATTATGGAAGTTAGAGATAACCTACTTTTTGGACTCAACAGAACAGAAAAAAACAACAAAAAAAAACAAGAAATGTCACTGAAAGATGTGATGTGAAGCCCAGCGTACTTAAAACACTTTGTTGAGAATGATGGATTCAGTTCTGTAGGACACTTGATCTAAAATTTAAAGTACCCACTGAATGATTATTATTTTCAGTGCTTTGCATCCTTTACTCAAGCAGTGTACTGTTTTACATTTTTTGTGTATGGTAAACTGGATCTTCATGTGTTATTATAGTTTTACTATTTTAATGTTCCTCACAAATATTATTGTTTGTTATGAATTTCTCGCAAAGCTACACGAGGGCTATCTGCACTAGCCGTCCCTAATTTAGCAGTGAAAGACTAGAGGGCAAGCAATTAGTCATCACTATCCACCACCAACTCTTGGGCTACTCTTTTACAAATGAATAGTGGGATTGACCATCAAATTATAATGCCCCCACGGCTGAAAGGGCAAGCATGTTTGGTGGGACAGGGATTTGAACCTGCAGATTGCAAGTTGAGCACCCTAACCACCTGGTCATGCCAGGCCACACAAATATTAGTTGAGAATGTAGAAAAACCAGCTGTTGAGCTACCTTATGCCTAATCACAATGTAGTGCATGATCTAACAGATGCCACTACAATGTTAATTTTATTATGTTAAATTGGTTTTGTTAAATTTTCACAACATTAGGTGCTAAAGAAAGATCGATATAATTGCAGAGTGTTTGTAAATCATATAAAGTGAGTCTAAGGCTTAAACACACAAAAAGCATTTATTGTAAAGCATATTATTAAAATAAGAAACCTTACATATGTTTTTGGATTTTAAAAAATAAACTCAATGATTGAAGATAGAATGGAGAAAGCCAAACCCATAGCCAAGGAAGTCATTGGTTCATCAAGGTGATTTACCAATGCTATGGACATATGGTCTAATAGGGGTTTGTCTGCATCATTCTTGGAAGTTGTATAATGCTTCTTAAACCTATTATGGAAACAAGCCCAGCACGTCCCGATTAATGCCATTATTCTCAGCCATCAAACACTGAAAAGATGATTGTGGAGAAGCTCGAGTCCAACTTAAACCAATGGGATATCAAACCCAGAAAATAATCCTCGTTATAACATGAAATGGGAGCAACATGGTCAAGACTGTGAAATGGCTATCATGCAGTGATAAAGATTCTTTATCCGACTCAGAGTCTGAAGACAACATTGATGATGTAATTAACAAATTGCAGCATAAAATTTTCTGTGCTTTGCAGTTTTTGCTTAAAGAACTTAAGAAACATTCAATTTACATCTCTTGGGTAAGCCTAAACAGCTTGTAAAAAATGCTAGAATGTAATCAGTTTCTACCCATAAACTTAATAAAAAATGTGGAAACAAGTTGCTTGCTGATTACCCCACAACATGGCACAGTTTATTGTACCTGATTAGCATCTGCAGAAAATCAAGACTGAATTGAATAAAATTTTCAATGAATTAGCCTGGGATTCATTGCTGGTGAGTGGTCCAGACTTGAAATATTTAAATCACCTACTTCAGATTTTTGCAAAGCATACAAAACTTTTACAGAAGGACACAAATAACAATCCATCATTTGCTCAGAGTTTGCTGATGTACTTACACAAAAAATTTGAAAGAATGTCCAACCCAGTTTTTTCTGGATTTAAAATTATCCAGCTGCTACCTCTCTGATGGACCCATCAGTGGCACTCTTACTTTTTAATCCTGAAATGGAAGTGCTGCCAAAGTGTATGTAAAGTGTCCGGTAGCTGTTGATTTACTAGTTAAAGGTGAAATGGCTGATGAAGAGCCACCATCATGATCAACTGTTTGCATACCACCACAACTAAAGCAATTTAAATTTCTAGCCAAGAAACACATCTAGCACTGGTAGACCAACCGTTGGGAGTTGAGAAAATGAATTAGAATAGTATATTCTGGAGTACAAGGAATGAAACTACTCTGGGTAAATGCTGTCACATTTTGGCAGAATTATGCTAATATTTACCCAGAAATATCCAAATCAGAGCAAGAACCAGATGTGGCATTTTTTCTATACGTGTTCCCACAGCAAGAAAAAAGAAAAGCAGAATCTAGCCTTAAACTAGTTTTTTTTTAAACTTTACCACAATGCTCTCAAACCTCTGTAAGTTGCGACAGTATTGCAACATTGTCTCACAAGATATATGAAGGAATGTGGTTGCACTTTTAAAATTGGAACTTGAAAAGTATTAAATGTTTTTGGAGCTTGCTTTTAAGTGTAATGCTATGGTAAATTAATATGCTGGAATAAAAATTTGTTCATCCAGTTAACTGAAACCAAGTAATAATTTGAAATAGAAATAAAATAATATTTGAAACTAAATAAAAAAGTGAAAATAAAATGAAATACTGAAACTAAAAATCTATTGATTAAAGATTACATAAAAATGAGAATACTAAAAAACTATTCAATTCATAAAGCTATCACACACAAAACGTTCTAATAAAATATTTCTCAGTATTTTTCTAAGAGTCAGTAACAGTATTTTAAGCAATGTGACATAACAGTAACCAACCATTAAGTACAAATGATGAGTAAAATGAAAAAAAAAAAAAAGAACAAAACAATAAAGATTTAACACGGTGCAATCAAATAGGCAAACTACCTATAAACATGTTATCAGAGACACAACAAAAACAAAATATCTATCTTGAATTTAGGTAAATATTCAGAGTATTGGGATTAAAAAGAAATGAAAGAAAATA